AGACCTTTGTCTGACTTGTACTGTCCAAAAATTTTTTCCCAGTCTGTAGGTTCTCTTTTTACTCTTTTGGTGAAGTCTTTTGAAGAGCGTAGGTGACACACACATTTTTTGGGGGACATAATTCAATCCATGACACCAGGCAAAGGAGGTCAGGTAGATAGTTGGATAAATGGGTTGAGGGCTTTGAAGAAAGGTTTGGGCTGGAGATCCAAATTTGAGAGTTGTCAGTGTATCATCGGTGACTGAAGTCCTAGGAGTAGATCTGTCTGACTAAGACTGATTATAAAATAAGAAGACTTAGTGATAATCCTGGAGAACTCTAGCATTTAAGGGGTAGAAAAGGTACCAGCAAAAGAGAATGAGTGTCTAGAGAGGAAAAAGTAGTTATCAGAGAGGCAATCTTGCTCATCCTGTGTCTTGGCAGGCACTTGTAAATCAGAATTTACTCTGGCTCCCCTTTCAAGTGCATGATGTCAGAGATAGACCACAGGTTTGTGTGTCTGTAAAGAGGGGTCCAGCCTTCCATTCAAACTAAGTCAGTCACACATGACTTTTCGGTAGCTTACAAAGCTGAAGGCACTGAGAAGGGGGCACAGGCACTGCTTTAGTACAATGTGCTAAGTCCACCTGTGGGCTGTAGTCAGCAGTGGTCATCCTATGAACCATCAACCCTGGAAAGGATGACTCTTCTAATAGCTGCTGACAAAGAAGGGCATCCCTGGAGTCAGCTAAGGCCCAGCTGGTTCACTGGTAAACAAAATGGCATGAAGAAGGGAGAGGTGTGAGATACTCACTCAATGTTTTTTGAAGACACTGCAAGCCAGGTACTCACGATGGCAGTCAGCTCTACCCAGCGGAGTTTGAGGCACTCGTCTGGGCTGGGCCATCCCAGACTCTGGTAATCACGCTTCTTTCCTGGAAGGAAGGAATGTCATGAATCAACACAACTGCAAAGGAACAGAACCCGAAGTGCCTTGTGCCCTGGTGATTACTTCACCCAATATGGTATATCTGGAGGTGCCAGTCATTCTTATAGTCTTTAGAATTTCTACCATCTAAAGATCTAAGTAAAACCTTGTCATTCAATTAAGATCATCTTTGAGCAAAACGTTTGTTCTCAAAGACATATGGTGAAGTAAAAATAAATGATTCCTTCTTTGCATTTAAGACTGATGAACATGAGATGAAGGTTAAGATATCTTTCAGTGTTAAGCACTTACCAACCTTAATTTTTATCCCTCTACTTTTCGATTTTATAAAGGTAACTCTAACTTAGTAGAAACATGTATCACTAAAGCAGGTCACCCTGACACTAGTGACATTTTGGGTTGGATAATTCTTTGTTGTGGAGGTCTATCCTATGCACTGTAGGATGTTTAGCAGCATCCTTCACCTCTACCCACTAGATGTCAGGAGCACCCTCCCCCAGATGTGACAACCAAAAATGTCTCCAGATAATGCCAAATGTCCCCTGGGGGCAAAATCGCCCCTAGTAGAGCTCCTTTGCTGTAAAGAAGGGCAGCAGGCTGGGAAATAACAAGAATAATGAAAGGTTATTTATTTTAAGAGCACTTACTGTGTGTCAGGTCCTGTGCTAAGTGCTTTATATCCACAACCTCATGAAGTAGGTTTTAATCCTCATTTCTCAGACGAGAAAACGGAGGAAACCGGAGGCTCAGAGAGATTAAGTGACTTGCCCAAGGTCACCTGGCTAGTGGCAGAGCTGGAATCCAAATCCAGGTGTTTGAGTCTAAGGGGTATGCTCCCAATTATCATGCTACTTAAAACTACATAAGGCTTTATTGATATCCTTCATAGGCACTGTCTTTTGGGTCCATGCCCTTTACTAGACCAAGTTTGCCCCCTCACCCTCTTCCCCCAAAAAGAGAACTAACTCTTGTCTGGGAAGGGTTCTTCGGATGGAAGTACAATGCAATGGACAGGAAGGAGATCTTTAACTCTGTATAGCACTTTTATACTGTAGGAATTTACCAACAATAGAAAACTGTTTGAGGTACAGGTAGGGGTGTAGACTTAGATTTTAATAAAACAGAAAAGAACACTTTGGAAGAATTTCAAACTAACCCTGTTTAAATTAATACCTTAAGGAAATAAACCATCAGTTTCACAATAAAGCTTATTTTCCTTTATATTTAAGAAATTCATTTGAGAAACATTTATTGAGCACCTATTATAAGGGGCTGAAAACTATGGAAGACACTGGAGATACAGAGAGGAATAATAAGAGGGCCTGCTCTTGAGCTCACAGTCTAGTGAGGAAGGTAAACATAAACAAATCATTATAATAACAACAGGGTAAGTGCTAGAGTGAAAGTATAGAACAATCGCACAGAGGAGAGAGCAACTAATTCTGCCTGAAGGTACCAAGGAAGTGAGGGCACTTGAGTTTGAACTTTAAGGATGAGTAATATTTTGGCACTGACAGATGTGGCATGAGGGCTTTCCAGGCAGAGGGAACAGTATGTGCAAAGGCATAGAGGTAAAATAAGAGCATGGCTGGTTCAGAGAATGGTGCTGAAGGGTAGATAGAGGCCGGTTTGTAAAGGGTCTTGTGCGCCACACTAGGAGGCTTGGACTTTATCCTGTAGGCAATGGGGAGCCTTCGAGCCCACATCTCTCCATCTTGTTCACAAGGATATCATAGAGGCTCTGTTAAATGCCTTGCTGAAATCCAGTTACATTATGTCTATGGCACTTCCCTGGTCTTCCAGTCTAGTAGCCCTAACCAAAAAAATGAAATGAAATTAGTTAAGCATTATTAGTCTTCCTAGTTCTTAGTAAATCTACAATGGCTCTTAATGATCTCCACTTTTCCCCCCATGGACTCACAAACTACCTGTTTAATAATTTGCTTTAGTACTTTGCCATGATTTATGATGAAGCATTATCAGCTGGTAGTTGATAGAAGCTATGTTTATTTGAAAATTGGGATACTGAACTTCTCTAGTATTCTAGTACCTCTTCTTTGCTTTAGAATTTTTCAGTTTAATGACAATAAGTAGTTCCACAATCTCATTTGCAAGTATCTTCAATGCCCTACCTGGGCCCATGAACTTGAACCCATTTAAAGCTGTTTAAGTGCTCTCATCTCATCTCAATTATACTGAGCTTTAAGTTTCACTTCTATAAGCAACTTTTAATTTTTTGTTTATAAAATAATATAGCCCATTATAAAATATTTAGAAAATGGAAAAGCACACAGAAGAAAATGAAAATCACCTATAACTCTGTCAACACCCAGACAGGACCACTGATAACATTCTGAGGTATCTCTTTACGGATGTGTTTCTGTGCACTTGTTTGTTATACCCTATTTCACCAAATCTAAGATGCTAGCAACTGGAAGGTGCACATCATTTTACATGATTTAATAAAGAAAAAACTGTAATTATTATTTTAAGATACCATCAATGGTAAGATGCATCCCAATTTCAGAGATGTTGAAATGTGAAAAAAATGGACAGTTGATGAAATAGAGTATATTTACTATTTTACAAAAATTGAAGTATTTGTGATATATGCTATTTTTATAAAACAGCTTTTGTTTACTTAATACATCACAAACATCCTGGATGTGTAGTACACAACAGAGAATGCTCTAATTTATTTAGGAAACTCCCCTTTAGGCTGTTTGCAAATTTTTACCACAATAAACAATCCTGTGGTGAACATTCTTAAACTTACATCTTTGGTACTTGTAAGATGATTTACTTAGGGTAAAATACTAGAGGTAGAATTATTGGTATATTCTAAAATTTTCTGCTATATCTAGTTAAACTATCCCAAAAATCGGTTTATTCTCACTTTTAAAGACAGTTAGATATGCAAAAATGGTATCTCATTGTTTAAGTTCGCACTTCTTTGTCACTAAGGCTGAATATTTTCTTACATATTTGCTAGTCATTTGTGCATATGTGTATACATGGTGAATTGCCTATGTACTTTATACATTTTTACTGAACTGATGTATTTTTCATATAGGTGCTCTTTAAATGACAGTTATTGATAACCTCTGTTTATCACATATTCTGCAAATACTTTGTCTTGGTCCTTTGTCTATTTTGTGGTGCTTTGGGTGCTAGTCCAGAGCCGTGGTAGAGCAGTGGTTAAGAGCTCGGCTGCTAACCAAAAGGTTGGCGGTTTGAATCCACGAGCAGCTCCTTGGAAACCCTAGGGAGGCAGTTCTACTCTGTCCTATAGGGTCTCTATGAATCGGAATTGGCTTGATGGCAGTGGGTTTGGTACGGGTTGGGTGCCAGAAATTAATTTTTTTTTTTTTTTTTTGTGGTTTAATCTATCACTCTCTTTCTTTCTCTCTCTCTTGCCTTAGGAAGTCCTTTTCCACCTTAAAAGTGTGTAAACATTCATTTAAATTTTCTTTTTTAATTATTTTATTATATTTAATATTTAGCCCATTGGGATTTTAATTTCCCTAATAGTGTTTTATAGTTTGAACATCTTTTTCCTTGGTACAAAAGACAGACCTAATAGAAGAAGTGCTGTTTTTCTTCTGCAGCCTGTTAACACATGCCATCTTCCTTAAACAGCAGAGCTAGCTGACTCATGCTTTTTACTACAAACATGACAAAATGCCCTATTTGGTGTCCTTAGTATTTTTTACAAGTCACAGTACATTCTGAGATTTAGCCAAATCTTTGTATTTTATTATGTGCCTTCTGCTTTTAGCTTTGGTATGTACTCACACCAAATAAAATAAGACATATTTAATGAAGTTACCTTGAATTTTCAGTTTTTTCTAAGATAGTAAAAATACATATTTTTTTTATAAAAAAAAGATCTAATAGTTGTTAAAAGGAAGTTTATCACCACTACTAAACTGCTGGAAAATAAAGTCAAATGGACTCCTGGCAATGGCCATTAACCTGGAGTCCAAAGACTGGCTTCAGTGCAACTATGAAATTATATTATATCTCAAATTTTGACAGATATACTTTTTTTTTCTGGGGAGAAGTTCCAAAGCATTCATCCAATGCTTACAAAGATATCTGACACACAAAAATGTTAAATAACAGCTAATAGCTTACTGAGGGGTCCCTGGGTAGTGCAAATGGTTAAGAAGCTCGGCTGCTAACTGAAAAGCTAGAAGTTCAAGTCCACCTAGAGGTACCCTGGAAGAAAGGTCTGGTGATCTACTTCTGAAAAATCAGTCATTGAAAACCCTATGGGGCACAGTTCTATAGAGCACATAGGGTTTCCATGAGTTGGAACTGACTCAACAGCAACTGGCTAATAGCTCACTGAACACTATGTGCCCAGTCCATTTTAATTACTTTACATGTATAAACTCACATATACTCATAGGGTGCCTCACAAGCACCCTATGTTGTAGATGCTATTATTATCCCCATTTTATAGATAAGGATAATGAGGCACAGGGAGGTAAATGGCAGAATTGGTGTTTGGACCCAGATAGTCTGTCTCAAGCTCACACTTTGATATATTACACTGGACTGTCTGGGTAACAACGAAGAACAGGGTATTTAAACTCATGATGATAAGAATATAAATACAAACAGTGAATGGTAAAAAAAAAATCAAGTCAAGTCAAGTAAAAAATGGTAAAAAATTAATGTCAAAATAAATTTTTTATACCAATGACTGGTTTCTTGTTCAGTTAGCCCTTTTACCTTAACTGAAATATTTTAAGTCATAAGCATATCCTTTGTAAGAACTGAGGCATTCAAGTCTAAAAGAAGAAATGGCATATAAACATTCAAGTTCACCTTGTGGCCCAGGAGATGCCACCTTTGGGCCAGTGATCTCCAGGTTTGATTGGTAACGATGTGTATTTTCTACTTGGTTTGATTCTGTTTTTTTCCCGGGAGTTTTCTTATGATCTCCTTTGGGTTTCTTTACACGTTTCACTTGGAATGTGATCTGGGAAAGGGAAACATGTTAGGAACAAATGAGACCAATTATCAAATCTCTCAATGGCTAAGAAAATGACCCAGGCCTATGCTAGGGATAAATTATCTCCTTCAGGTTAATTCTTAAAGGTTTAAATGAAAAATGTTCGGTGAAATAAACAAAATAACCTAGCCTAGAAGAGTGTATGGCGCAGTGGTTAAGAGCTCAGCTGCTAATCAAAAGGTCGGCAGTTCCAATCCACCAGCTGCTCCTTGGAAACTCTATGGGGCAGTTCTACTCTGTCCTATAGGGTTGCTATGAGTTGGAATTGACTCTACGGCAACAGGTTTGATTTTTGGTTTAGAAGAGTATATATGGAGCTCTGGTGATGCAATGGTTAAGTGCTTGGCTGCTAACTGAAAGGCTGGCGGATTGAACCCACACAGAGGTTCCAAGGGGAAAAGACCTGGTGATCTGTTCCTGTAAAGATTACAGCCTAGAAAACCCTGTGGGGCATTTCTACTGTGTCACATGGGGTTGCTATGAGTCAAAATTGACTCAATGGCACCTAATAACAAGTGTACAGAAGAAACTAAAAATGAAAAAGTCTATAAGCCCATCCCATTTCCTCCCTCCTCCTTCCTCCCTCCTCCCAGAAGAGCTAGCAACACCTAAGCAAAATGAAATGCTTCTTGCAGTGCAATTCCAGTGTGAAGGCTGTATTGGAATATGCGGTAAAGTACTGCCACATACCAAACAGAAACTTTCCACTTTATAAACTAGGAGCCCTTCGAAGACCTGGTTTACAATCTGGTTTCAGGATTGAGCTAACAAACTCTTACCCATTCTGTTGCCTCATCGTCTTCACTTCTGCAGTCTCCATAGCAAGAGCTCCTGGCCACTCCATCCTGGGGACCTTTTTTCAGTACACGTATTCCTTGCAAGTCCAGACGCCGTCCTTTCATCTCTAGTGCGCCCCCAAAGCCTTCCAGAGGCCATGCCTGTTGAAATTCATCCACTAAAGCCAATATCTCTTCTGACATCTTTGTTTCATCTGAATTCTCCATCTCATCAGAACCATTACTTTCCTCAACCACTGTACCTGAAATTCAACGGCCAGCGAGTTATTAAAACAGTTACATAGTACTCTTTCAGGTACTATTCAACAACCATGAATTTCCATTTACACCAGTGGTGCATTTTCTTCTCACTTTTAGCTAGGTGAGTACAGTGTGAAAAGAAATGGAGACCTCAGAGAAGATAACTTAGAAAAGCACACAGGGACTCTTTCCTACAATAACACTTACGCAGATATTTTGCGGCTCTCTTCAAATGAACAGATGTTTATTGAGCATGTACTATGCATATGTGCTTGTGAGGACTTTTGATCACAACTAGCCTCTAAGTCCTGAAGCAGCGGAGTCATGCCTATGTTTGCAGAAGTGAACATTTACTGAGCTCCAAATGTATATCTGTTGCTAAAAGAAATTCTAAGTTATTTAAATACTAAAAACCATCCAATGAAGCATTTTTTTATTTTTAAATAAATGAAGTAAGGAAGGGTCAGCAAAATTAAGTGACTTGCCCAAGGCTTAATAACTTGTAGGTGGTAGAGCCAGGACATGGTAATGATATCTCTGACTACCAAACCTACAGTCTTCCTTCCAAAGGTAGAGGTTTTCCAGGGAGGAATTCTTGATTACCTGAAGAGGTATTAATGCAATGGTTCTCAAACATTACTCAGTGATAAATTTTCACCAATCTTTAGCAAAATGAGAAACAAAAAGGATGCATATCTAAAGCTATAAAATGTAAATATATTCATGTACAGATACACAGATACTCATGTGGTGTAAGGTTGCCTACTGTTTTCTTTTTATTATTTATTTATATTTATTGTGGTAAGTATATACATATACAACAAAAATTTGCCATTTCAACATTTTTTACATGTACAACTCAGTGACATTAATTACTTTTTCATCATGCTTAGGGGGCAATGAGCTTCAGTTAAGGGTGATGGAAAATCTAGAAATGGATACTAGTGATGCCTACTGTCTGTTTTTGTCTATGTACTTTCTGACATTAAAATTATCTTCGTTTTAGAAAATAACAATAATAGCAGATGCTAGTTTTCCTTAAAAAATGACCTTACCAATTGGAAAAAAAAAAAAAGAGCTGGAGAAAAACGTAGAACAAAATTCTAACTCACA